TTCCCCCGGACAACCAGCATCTGAAGCGAAGCTTCCTTCTCACAAGGAAGGAAGGGTTAGAAAAGGTCGACCCGATTTAGACAAGAAGTAAAATTATGATTTTGCACAACCGTCATTTTGAAAGCTTATTGAAGGAAATCTTCGTATTGTTTAATTACCTATTTCATACAAATTTTCGACTCACTTAATAGACATTCTAATCGGTAAATTTACACAATAACATTGCTGAGCTTTCTACAATCGCTTACTTGCTTTACTTACTGTGAGTAATTAATTACCTTTAAATTCCTGAAAATCCATCTGTCTGATTGATCTCTAGTCCCTGAAATCACAGGATAAAAACCGCATAATTCTGCTTTTGTCATTTATTCGATGTATTCAAGATGATCTAATTCATACTGAATTATTTTTATCTTTATTGAAGATCATGTTTGGTACCGTGTATATCATTTGGTGAACAAAGCTTATATCACCAAGTTTCAAATGAAAAAGGATCATGGATACGATGGTTACAGGATAAATTTACATCGATTTCTACCGTTGCAGTGCCTATTTTCTATGCTCATGGTCCGTTTCCGTATCGAAAACCAGTTTATACAGTAGGTAGGTTGATAATTACATTATGCAGATCTAGTTTTCAGCTGATGTGGGAATTTTTGGTAAATGATCATGCACAAATTGTTAAAATTCGGATACTGACTACTCTATCAACTACTGTTTAAGATCTATCTTTTACGCACTATGCATACAGAGAATTCATGAAGTATATTTCTATTAGTATAGGTTGGTATTTTGTTCTAGTTTATTTTTCTTTGATAGCATATGGACCCATCGTTGCTTTAACAACAACTAAGTTTAAATGTTGGTTAGGTGTTTCAAAGCAGCCACCAGTGAGATCTAGAACTAGTGCTCCCTGTTTAGCGCTATGAGATTTGAAGCTACGTGTACCAAGTTCGAGTCTCAGTGGACATATGCGTATTTAGACGGAAGTGCACATATATGAGGAGTTTATATCAAATGAAACCCTTATGACAGGTTTTTAAGTGCGCTGTATTCTAAGTCGAGGCTAACCAATTTATGTGGGCTACTTAATGTTCAACGTCGGGCTCACTAATTCTGTGGTTGATGTGTGCTCACCAATTGTCTGGCGGTCAGCATTCGATATATTCCAAAACGTCGTATATTGCTCGTCCTGATAACCGTTATTAGATAACGCCCAATGGTGCGTAAATCAGAAGATGGATAAAAAGAGTTGATTATGATCTTTACAGATCATTATTATCGTTGATCACTCTCACAGAAAATCGAGATAGTGCCCTTCAAATGTTCCGTAAAAACGCCTGGTAAACATAACAGTTTACGGCTATTCCCATCAATTAACAAATACAATACAGAATTAGTTTATATAGTTAGTGTTTCAAGACACCTTAGATTAAATAAACTACGGTCAGGAGCTAAGAGTTAGATTAAAGACACCATCAGCTAAGGTGCATACTATCATAAACTCGACTAGATCAGTTTACTAAGACTAAGCAATCAGAATCTGCAACTGAAAATTTTAATAATTACAGAAAATAACCTATTAGTATTATATTACATCTTGTTAAAACACTCTTTTCTCACAGTTGGTGCGCCGACTCGATGTGAACAAATAAAAGAACCTACAAACGAACAAGTCGCACATATTAAACAAATTTATAAAGAAAGGCTTCAAATTTTATTTCATGATTACAAGGCAATTTATGATCCAGAAGCTAATGATATTGAATTTATCTAAATGAATAAACTATGTAAAAGTTTTTAAATTAATTTAAACAAAAATTCCAAAGACCATTTTCGATTCATTTATCATACTAACATATTC